GAATCAAAATAAAAAATGTGTCTGATGGACTCAATAGTAGATTGGAGATGTCAAAGAATACAATCAGTGAACTTGGGAACAAAACAATAGAATTTATTCAGTCTGAACAACAGAGAGAAAATAGACTGAAAAAAAAAATTACAGTTCCTCAGAGACTTCTGGGTCGATAACAAAAGATCTAAAATTTGTATCGTTAGAATCCCAGAAGATGAGAAAGAATGTAAGCCTGGAAAACTATTTGAAGAAATAATGACTGAAAACTTCCCAAATTTATCAAAAGACATAAACCTACAGATTCGTGAAACTGAACGAACCTCAAATAGGAAAACCCAAAAAAAATCTATGCTAGGATATATCATAACTAAACTTTTGTAAACTAAGGACAAAGAAAAAATCTTAAAGACAACCAAAGAGAAATTATGCATTATCTATTGGGGAACAGCAATTCAAATAACAGTATGATTCTTATCAGAAGCCATGAGGGCAGAAGGAAGTGGCACAACATTTTTTAAGTGCTAAAAGAAAAGAACAGTCAACTGCAAACTCTTATATCTGGTAAATATTCCTTCAGAAATGAAGGGAAAATAATGACATTCTTAGATAGATTTATGGTACTGACTGCTTACATTAGAAAAGAGAAAAGGCCTCAAATCAGTAATCTAAGTTGCTACATCAAGAAACTAGAAAAAGAAGAACAAGATTAATCCAAAGCAAGCAGAAATCAGTGGAATTATGAACAAGAAAACAACAAAGAAAATGTGTTAAACCAAAAACTGGTTCTTAAAAAAAACAATACAATTGATAACGAAACTGACAAAGATAAAAAGAGAGAAGACACAAACCACCAGTAGCAGGAACAGGAGATATCACTACAGCCATTAAAAAGATAGTAAGGTAGGGGCCGGCCTGGTGGTGCAAGCGGTTAAGTACGCACGCTCTGCTGTGGTGGCCCGGGGTTCGCTGGTTCAGATCCCGGGCGTGCACCAACGCACCACTTGGCAAACAATGTTGTGGTGGCGTCCTATATAAAGTGGAGGAAGATGGGCACGGATGTTAGCCCAGGACCAGTCTTCCTCAGCAAAGAGAGGAGGATTGGCAGATGTTAGCTCAGGGCCAATCTTCCTCAAAAAAAAAAAAAAAGATAATAAGGTAATACTAGGAGCACCTTTACACTCAAAATTCAACAACTTAGAAGAAATGGACGAATTTCTTAAAAACCGCAAATTACCAAAACTCTGCCAAGGTGAAATAGATAACCTGAATAACCATTAATGAAATTGAATTTTTAATTAGGAAGCTTCTGATGGTTTCACTGGAGAATTTTACCATATGTTTAAAGAATAATTAACACCAGATTTTTACATTCTCTTCCAGAAAAGATAAGAGGAGGGAACACTTCCTTACTCATTTTAGAAGGTCGGTATTATTCTGATACCAAAACCAGACAAAGATAGTTCAAAACAAACAAACTAAGACCAATATCTCTCATGAACTTAGAGGCAAAGATTCTTAACAGATTATTAACAAATCACATCCAACAATATATGAAAATAATTTATACATGACAGCCAAGTGGAATTTATTGCACATATGCAAGGCTGGTTCAGTAATCAAAAATCAGTGTAATCCATATCAATAGTCTAAAGAAGAAAAATCATAAACACAGAAAATGCATTCAACAAAATCCAACACCCATTCATGATAAAACTCTCCTCAAAGAATAAAGGGAGAACTTCCTCAACTAAATAATGAGCATCTCCAAAAAGTCCTACAGCTAACATCATAGTTAATAGTGAAAGACTGAATGCTTTCACCCTAAATCGAGAACAAGGCAAGAATGCCTGCTGTCAACTGTTCTTATTTAACATAGTACTGGAAGTTCTAGTTAACAAAATAAAGCAAGAAAAGGAAATGAAAGCCCTATAGATTAGAAGGAAGAAATAAATCTTGTTGTATTTGTAGGTGACATGATTGTCTATGTAGAAGATTCCAAGGAATCTACCCAAATAAATCCTAGAACTAATAAGTGAGTTCACTAAGGTCACGGGATACACTATCAACATATAAGAATCAATTGCATTTCCAGATACTAACAGTCAAACTATTTTACTCAAAGTCCTATACATAAATGTTCATATCCGCTTTATTCATAATAGTGAACAACTGGAAACAACCAAAATGTCATACAGTAGGTGAAAGATTAAACTGTGGTATGGCCATACCATGGAATACTTCTCAGCAATTAATAGGAACTAACTGCTGGTACATGCAGCAACACGATGCATCTCAAAAGCATTATGCTGGGTGAAAGAAGCCAGACACGAAAGTTAACATACTGTATAATTCCATTTATATAATATTCTTGAAAGAATATTATAGAGATGGAGAGCAAATTAGTTGCCAGAGATTTAGGGGGTTGGGATGGCTATAAAAGGGTAGCATGAGGGAGCCCTGCAGTGATGGAACAATTTTGTGCTGTGATTGTTAGTAGTGGTTACATAAAGCTACACATGATAAAATTGCACAGAACTGCATATTTCCACACATGCACACATGAGTGCATGTCAAACTGGAAATATCTGAACAGACTCTCTGGGTTGTACCAATATTGGTTTTCTGGTTTCAATGGTGTACTATAGTTATGCAGGATATCAACACCCGGGGAGGCTGGGTGAAAGGTACATGGGACGTCTCTGTACATTTGTTTACAATTTCCCATGAACCTATAATTGTTTCAAAACAAAAAGTTTTAAAATAAAGTCTCCTATCCTCTCCAGTTTTGTGCCCCATTTTCCCCTATCAAAATTGTTACCATTATTTTCTTTCATCATGATCCATCTGAAGACTTTTTTTTTTTTTTTAAGATTTTATTTATTTTATTTTTTTCCCCCCAAAGCCCCAGTGGATAGTTGCATGTCGTAGCTGCACATCCTTCCAGCCGCTGCATGCGGGACTCGGCCCCAGGATGAACGGAGAAGTGGTGCCTCGATGCGCACCCGGGATCCGAACCCGGGCCACCAGCATCGCAGCGCGCGCACTCAACCACCAAGCCACAGGGCCGGCCCATGAAGACTTTTTAAAAATGCATGTACAAGTGTATTTTCAATAGAAATGTATTTTCATCCATCCCTTTTCTAGACATATGGTTTCATGTTCTATGTACTGTTCTGCCCCTTCCTTTTTTTTTCCACTTAATAGAGATTGTTCCCTATCAGTCATGCTTTATTTTTTCAGATTCAGCAATTACATTGATATTTCTGCCATGATGCTTTAACCGTTTTCCTATTATCAGACTTCTGGGAAGTTTGAATCTTTTGCTTTTAGAAACAATGCTCTGGGCCGGCCCCATGGCTTAGTGGTTAAGTGCGCGCGCTCCGCTGCTGGCAGCCCCAGTTCGGATCCCGGGCACGCACCGACGCACCGCTTCTCTGGCCATGCTGGGGCCGCGTCCCACATGCAGCAGCTGGAAGGATGTGCAGCTATGACGTACAACTATCTACTGGGGCTTTGGGGGAAAAAATAAAAAAAGAAACAATGCTCTGGTGAAAGACCTTACATGTTTGCTATTTTGCAGGTGTGTGAATGTCTCTAAGATAAATTTCTAGAAATTGGATTTCTGGATTAGAATTTATCTACACTTGTAATTTTCAGAGACACTGCTAGACTACCCTGCATGCATTGTACTATTGCACATACTTACCCGCAGTGTATATCCTCATGTTGTCCCCAACAGTTATTTTCATATTTTAGGACTTATGACAATACGTTAGGTTAAAAATGGCATTTCAGTGTGGTTTTAATTTTCATTTCTCTGAAAGATTGGACATCTTTTCACTTTGTGTGTGTGTGTGTGAGGAAGATCAGCCCTGAGCTAACATCCGTGCCCATCTTCCTCCACTTTATGTGGGACGCCACCACAGCATGGCTCAACAAGCGGCGCATCGGTGTGCACCCAGGATCTGAACCTGCGAACCCAGGGCTGCCAAAATGGAGCGTGTGCACTTAACCGCTGCGCCACTGGGCCAGCCCCTATCTTTTCATATTTTCAAAAGTGATTTGTATTTCTTTTTCTGTAAACTGTGTTCATATTCTTTTGGCCATTTTTCTAGTGGGTTGTTGGCCTTTATAGGAGTTATTGATTTGTAGGAGTAATTTATATAACAAGCTCTTTGTCTTTGATGTGAGGTTCAGTATTTTTTTCTTGTTTATCACTTGCCTCTTGACTTCTCTCATCGTTTTTTTGGCCACATTGAAATTTTTTGTTTTTCTTTAGTCAGACTTATCTTTGGTGGCTTCTGGATTTTGTGCCAGTTAGAAAGGTCTTCCCCACGCTCAGGTTATAAACTTCGTGGTATTTTAATGCTTTCAGGTGTAGCCCTGTTGAAATCTGGAGTAACCTCCCCACAGTGATGCTGCCAGGCATAGCCTTAGGCAGTAGACTTTATTTCTGGCCCTGGGTCTGATTTCATGGGTGTCCTCAGCCTTGTTGGGAAATCTGGGTCACTGCTAAAACTAGATCAAGTTAATCTCACATCCTCCATAAAGTGGTGCTTTACAGGGAAAGGAAGTAAGGGGAGGACACTGGATGATCTTCTGGCTCTTATCCCATCTCCCAGCAACCTTTATTCCAAGAGATAAACTCTCGTAAAAGAGGTTTTTGTCCCCTCTGTGCTCCAGGAGTGAGTTGTTGGGTGACAGAACCCCTTTGCTGGTTTCCAGGGAAGGGAAACCAAACTTGAAGGGCCATTTCCTTCCATTGATCAATTGTGCAAATCCCACTTAGGTTACTTCTCCACAGGGACAGGCTGCCTGAATCTCTGGAATCTAAAACTGTCCTCCATCACAATAAGGATGACTTGGGAGTCTTGTCCACATTTCAGCAGCACAGCCCTGTGGATTTTTTTCAGAATGAAGTGCTAGTTAATAGTCTGTCTCTGGTAAGACTTGTGTTTTCAAAATGGGTATGAAAAACTTGCTTAGCATAACTTTCCACCCCTTAGGAATAGCCAAGCCAGAAGAAGGACGGTCTACTGTGAGTGTGACCGGAAATGACATCACCACCCCTCCAAACAAGGAGCTCCCGCCAAGCCCAGAGAAGAAGACAAAGGTAGGTGCCAGAATGGTGGGCTATAGTGGGTATAAAACATCGCTATATTGTTTTAAACAGTAGCTTCTGCTATTATTGCTTGAATCATGAATGAAATTTCTTTTTACTGAGCTATTATGAGTCATTCCTCAAGTTTGAACATCCTTAGAAAATATTTTATATTCCTATTTTACCGTAGTGGCCTAACTCAAACCTTAAAATCTATGCTTTTGACTTTATTATCTTAAATATCTGTAGAAATGTTCTGTAGAGGTCGTTGCTGCTTCACTTAACAACCACAATAAAGGGAATTACAGAACTATTCAGAAATAGATTCTGAAATCTGCATTCATGAAAAGAGAACACAGATTTTTAAGGTGGATCATAGCTTCAGGCACTTACTGGTATTTATTGAAAAGTACAAATGCCACACTTTAGTGTGGTCTTAAAGTAGGATGCTGATGTTGCGTCATCAAGGTACAGATAATAGTAGTTTAATCACCTGCTGGCGACTTTCTTCATAGAATTACTGCCACCACCAAAAGTTGGTTGTTTAAAGCTATCCCTGAATTTAAATCTTCAGGTGCCAAACTGCTGGAATTTGTGATACTGTCATTAAGAAACGATTCCCAGTGTTCTTTATCTCCATCCTGGTGTCTTTCCACTCTTTACAAAGCTCAGAAGAAAGAAATGCTGATTTTCAGTTGCATATATCCTCATTGCTTATAATTTTACTTTGAATTGTGCAATTTATACTTTTTTTTCTTCATTTGTTTTTATTCTTGTCTGTGTGTTTGATGTTGGCCTTTAAAAAAAAACAAACAACAAATCAACTTAAAAGCCTTTGGCCACCACTCAGCCTGCAAAGACTTCAACATCGAAAGCCAAAACACAGCCCACTTCTCTCCCTAAGCAGCCAGCTCCCACCACTTTTGGTGGGTTGAATAAAAAACCCATGAGCCTTGCTTCAGGCTTAGTGGCAGCTGCCCCACCCAAACGCCCTGCTGCTGCCACTGCCAGGCCTTCCATCTTACCTTCAAAAGACGTGAAGCCCAAGGTAAGTCATCATCTAAGCACTGTGTCAGGGAAAAGTTTTCCCCTCTGAGTGTCAGATAGGCCCTTGTTTCTACCAGACAATGGAATCAGGCTTGTGGAATTGAGGAAAGGAAAGGGAAAAGTCGGAAGGGCAACTTGGAAATCAGTTTGGGGGCCCATGATGCAGCCATAACATTTGAAGGCCTTTTATGCTTTGTACCTTTCCCTGCCCTGGTTGGAGACAATATGGCATCTACTTAGGTTCCTCCCCTTTTCTCCCAACTCCTCCTTCCTCTTCACCTGTTTAAACACTTGTTAACCAGTTTCCCCTACTCCACGTACTAATCAGGTATTCATTTCTGGTATAATTCCCACGTCAAATTCTCAGTCAAATTCAGTTCTTTGTCTTTCTCTTTAATCATCCTGCAGAAGTGAAGTTTACCCATTACTTTTGTGCTAAGTTCTTCTAGCTTATCTCAGCATGTTCCAGCATCATGTGGTAACTTACTTTGCTTTTGGCATTAGGCCACCTCTTGCTGGGCTCCTGAAGTTTTTCAGTTTTCCAGGTCACCCACACATTATTGCCTAGAAATTGGTCAATTTGGAGCAGCATTAGCTTCACAGGATTGTTCTAGGAGCGAGCGGGTGGAGTCTGTGGCTGCCTTCCTTAACGTCTTGTTTTATTTAAGAAGGGCCGTTAGGTCAGCCTGATGTTATTCTTTAAATTCATGATGGGAAATAGGTTCCTGTGTTAGAGTGTCAGTGTTTTAATCTAATCTTTTAAAGAAAAATGGTAGAACCTAGGAATTATAGTCTAGGTTGAAACCCTGGCCAGGAAACTGAGAAATCCTGTCGTAGACTAGGAATGATAAAATCTCATAAAGGTTTCTGATCCTCATTTACCCGGTTGACTACTTTTCTTGATTGCTAGATGACAATTTATGTGATAAGAGGCCAGAGGGAAGATGACTGGAGCCATGCACAGCTCCTACCTGACACTAATTCAGCAGCAAATCCTGGGGGAGACAGAGGAGGGTGTAGGGAGGAGAGAGTTGTCTAGTGAAATTTCACTCGATGATGATAATAAAAATGATGTGTACTGTCTGGTTTCTTTATGTACATTAACTCCTTTTTTTCTCTCTGTCCACAATCTATGACATAGATATTAATATCCTCATTTTTAGCTCAGTTAAATAACCTTCATAAGGTCCAGTGCTAGTAAATGGCAGAGCCAATATTTGAACTTGGGTCTAACTCCAGTGCTGATTCTCAGGGCTTCTATCAACACTGTTCTTTCATGGCTTTTCGCCATGCAACTTTTAGACAGCATTTCAAGATACAGCTAACTTGAAGAGATGATCTGTGTTACAGTTATTACTGTTGTTTATCTTTTAGGTAAGAAACAGATGGAAACATTTTGAGAGATTGATGAAAACTAAAGTCTAATGAAATTTATTTTTATCCTTATTTTGGTATAAAGATTTATAGAAACAAAACAACAGGAAAAAAATCTACTTATTCAGAAAAATAAGTAGATCTTTGATTCTGGCAGAAGAGAAAATATAAATTGAGAAACAGCAGGGTAATTCCAATTATGAAAGCAGGCTGGTTCTGCATCTTGCTGAGGCCAAGAGCCTGACATATGAGGAATGTCATATCCTTGAGAGATTTCTATTCCAAGTAACTTTTTTCTAACTTATTTTTTCATTATTACTCTTACTAGCAAAATAATAAGACCCCAGTAGATTATTCTGAATCATAGTCATAGTATCGAAAATTTGAAGGAGACTCCAGAGGGTATCTGATTTAGTCCTCAAGTTTTAGAGCAAACAGAATTCCTCTGCACAAAATCCTACGACATGTTCTGGACAGAGCTGCTAGTTGAACTCGTTCCTCTGATTCCAACCTTAGGGTTCTTCCTACCATACTTAGGGACTTCGTTTGTAGAAATGGTCATTACCGTGCATTTACAGGGTTAGATTTTATTTAACTGGATGCCAGCCCTTAATTTCTGAGCACCTCCTCAGCTGATTTTCCATTTAGGCAGTATCTTGCTTATCTGCACCAACATACTGCCCTCCGTGTGGCTAGTTCTTTTTGACTAAAAGAGCTGCCTTCACTGTGACTGTGGTTCGGTGTGTGCTGTCTTGAGTAACATGGTATGTTTGCTTATCAAAATAGTGTTCATCCCCTATTCCTGTAGAAACCAGGCTGCACTGATTCCTTCCCTTCCTCACTAGTGACGACATGCCCAGCCTCCGTGAAGGGAACTAGAGTGACCCAGAGGCTGTGCATCTGCAGTTGAGAGACTTCTCCATTTTGTTTTCAGCCATAGCTGTGACATCAGTGCTTCTCCTTACTTCTGTTGGTCAGGCCTGCACCCTCTGCCTGTCCCTTTTCATTGTCTGTGTTCTCTCAGAGACTTCTCATTCTCTAGTCCCTAACATGGCTTATTAGCAAAGCTGGTCCTTAGAGATCCTCTGTTCCAACCTCTTTTATCCAGATGAGGAAATAAAGCCCAGAGAGGCTCAGTGATTTGCCTAAGAACACATTGTGAGTGGGGGGCTGAACTGGATCTGGAGCTAAGGCTTCTGACCTGATTCAGCTAGTGTTCTCTCCATCTACAGCCCTATCCTGTTCAGCATTCACTTGGTGCATCTTAGCCAAAAGAATAACTGAATTTGAACATCTTAATTTTTAATTTTTTGTTTTGTTTGTGTATATTTAATCTTTGATCAAGTATTTAATACATTAAATACCTCAGTGTTTAATCCAGTAGATCCTGAGGCAAACATAGTTTGTGGTGTGTTATACTTTTCAGGGCTGTTTATTCTCACTGGTTCAGTTTGGATTGAGGTAGTTTGATTCCCCGTTTCCTGACCCCAGATCACACAGCACTCTACATGGCCAGTTTCTCATGTTGTCTGGAGGACTTTGATCTTTGAGCCATATATATTTTCCTGTCAGTAGCTGCTGAACACACAGAACCCTTGTTTTCTGGTGTAGGCTTATATAGAACCATCCTTTGGCATGACTTCCTGGGGCTATTGTTGACCCACAGCTCTATTCCCACTTTCCTGTTACCAGCCTGTTGCAGACGCAAAGATTCCTGAGAAGCGGGCCTCACCATCCAAGCTGGCCTCTGCCCCAGCCTCCAGGCCTGGCTCCAAGAGCACCCAGACTGTTCCAAAAGCCACAGTAGCTGCCACTGTTGCCTCACCTGGGTCAAACAGTAGGAGTCCCCCCACACCCCTGCCCAAGAAGCCTGCTGGTGAGTATTGTCACCTTTCCTTCCCAGGGGAACCAGTGGGGAGAAGAGTGGGGCCTTGGCTTTGCCCCAGATGTAGCTCCAGCCAGCGTCACAGAGAGCTGTGCAGACCTGCTTGTGCAGCAGTCCTTAATGGGGTATGTTGAAAAGCAGCAGCCTTGATCTGTCTCTCTGTGAGGTTAGGAAGTATGTATAATCAGGAAAATCTTGATTGGAGGGGACTCATTAATTCCCAGGTAGAATTTACTCTCCCTTTCTTAGTAACTCCACAGCACCCAGCACATTGTGGTCACGGGCTTACGTGATAAGAAATAGACCATTCAATTCCAAAGGCATGTATTGATAACTCACTGCTAAGGTCACGTGGAAGGCATCGTCAAGATGTAGAAAAGAATCAGATGCAGTGCCTGGCCTTATATGTTCCACAGGGCATGGTCTTTACATGGCTGGCTGACTACTCTATTCCCAGAGACTAGCACAGCCTCTGGCTCAAAACGGACATTCAGTAATTGTTGAATGAATGAATGAATCTCAGTATTGGATGAGCCATTCAGTAGGTCAGTTTGTTAAACGTTATGTTAAAAAGCGTATGTTTGTGCAGCCATCAAGACTGAGGGAAAACCTGCAGACATCAAGAAGATGGCTGCAAAGTCTGCACCAGGTAATACCCCGTCCTCCACTTTGCAGAACCCTAATTTAAACCCCTACGTCTTCTGTGGCTTTAAGGCTCCCTTTTGCTCTCTCCTCCTGAACCTTGTTATCTCTCACTCCTACCTTTGCAGCTGACTTGAGTCGCTCAAAGAGCACCTCCACCAGTTCTGTGAAGAAAAGCACCACTGTCCCTGGGGCAGCACCCCCAGCAGGAGTGGCTACCAGTCGAGTCAAGCTCACACCTGCGCCATCCCGGCCCTCCGGGACTCCTTCCTTGGACAAGAAGCCTACGTCAGCCAAGCCCAGCTCCTCTGCCCCCAGGCTGAGCCGCCTGGCTACCAATGCTTCTGCCCCTGATCTGAAGAATGTGCGCTCCAAGGTTGGCTCCACGGAAAACATCAAGCATCAGCCTGGAGGAGGCCGGGTGGGTCCAGGGAGCTTGGGTTCCTTGGCATGCTGGCCCCTGCTTCTTCCCTTGCCACATCCAACCACTGTTCTCCAGGCATGTCCCCACGTCAACCCAAGGGACCCACCGAAGCAGAAGGGCAGTCAGAGCATTGGATTCAGTGTCAGGGAATTCCATCCTGGGCTCCACGTCCCAGCAGCAGGCAAGGGTGGGCTGAGCTCTGGGCTTTCTCTTCCCATCTCAATCAGAGGGACTCGTGTTCTGTGTTGTGGAGTCTATACATACAGTGTTGTTTGGAGACAAAAGGGTTCTTCTGCTTTACAAAACAAACAGGGGAACCTCTGAGACTGCGAAGGTGAGAGACACTGAACCTGAACCTGGTTTTACACGTTTCTTAACCCTGCACTGTAAGTGTCAGGATAAGCAGAAGGCAGAATGCCTTTTCCTTCTCCAAGCTATGACTTGGGTGGAGATTCGTCTGAAAGAGGACCAGAGTGTCCTCTTGTGGCCCGGATAACTTGCTGTGGTGAGCTGCAAGCAAGTTTGTTTAGCAAGTCCAGCTTTTCTAAACAAAAGGACTGACATAGAGTGTAGTGATAGAGAAAGACATGGCAGGCCACAGTGTTTCCCTTTAAGGATTTTCTGGTTGCATCTATCCTGGAATTATTTGTTAACTGTTAGCAACTATGGGGACTTCATATGTGAAAAAGGCGATGGCAGAAGTCCAAGTTCAAGTCCCTGGAGCAGTAACCTTCTTTCTTTTTTTTTTTTTTTTATTTTATTTTATTTATTTATTTTCTCCCCAAAGCCCCAGCAGATAGTTGTATGTCATGGATGCACATTCTTCTAGTTGCTGTATGTGGGATGCGGCCTCAGCATGGCCAGAGAAGCGGTGTGTCGGTGTGCGCCCGGGATCTGAACCCGGGCCGCCAGTAGCGGAGTGTGCGCACTTAAGCACTAAGCCACCGGGCCGGCCCTGGAGCAGTAACCTTCTCATTTCTAGCACTTAGTATAGTCATTCTCTAGCACTTAAACCACCGCCACCACCACCTGCGACTCAGGATAAGGTACTTAAATTGCTTCAATCCAGAGCTGTTAAAAAATTAAAGAGAGTCCAAAATGAGGCAGAATCCTGGTACTGTTGGAAAACACGGATGGCAAACTGGGATTAGTCTGGGATAAGGGCCTAAAAGTTGCTTTTGCTAAGAGATTTTGGCTCAGGCGTACCCAGCCAGACCTCTGGGGCTGTGGTACTGATGGCCCATTTCCCCCTTTCTGTGCTCTTATGCTTTCAACATGCAAAAGTTGCAGGAGAGTTGAGTAACTCAGTCTGGTGGTTAAATTATTTTCTGTTTCAACATACTGAAGGGTGTGACACTTGCCATCATCAGTAGTGGCTCCCTGTGACCATGGCAGCTTGCTTGGGGCATATCAGAACATTTGAGTGGGAGGGCATTGTAATTTGAAAACTGATAACCCGAACACACACTCGGAAGAGAATCGTGAATTTTGCCCTTCTTCCTACCTTTTTTCCGTGAATGGTGTCTTGTTCTCTTCCTCATGTCTCAAGACTTTGGTCTGCAGCTCCTCCCTCTGGCTTGGTCTACCCTGGGAAATGGGTGGTTTTTCCTAGGAGCAAGGATGACCTGCTTCTGCCTGGTGGCCTGGCCTGGATTCGAGTCCCCTACAGACTTCTTCCTTCTTGGCATTTGGGCTCTTATCCTCTTGGTTTGAAATTTGCCCTCCCTTTATCTCCATCCAGGCCAAAGTAGAGAAAAAGACAGAGGCAGTTGCTACAGCTCGAAAGCCTGAACCTAATGCAGTCACTAAAACAGCCGGCCCAATTGCGAGTGCACAGAAACCGCCTGCCGGGAAAGTGAGTTTTATTTAGACTATTACCTCTTGAAGGTAAAAGATGATAAATTGTTTCTTCCAGCCTGAGTCACTTTCCCTTCTATTGCACTTTTTTCCTGTCCTTAACTAGTTTCTACTTCTCCCCGTGTTCCCTCCTCTGTGTTTGATGACTCAGCCAATACAAAATTTTTTTTAACAACCCTGAAAGTTAACAGAGTTGGGAGCCCAGTAGCCCTTTGGGGAATATTTGTTCAGCTGGATAAAGTGGATCCAAAAACGTTCAGTGACTTCCTTTATACTGACCTTGATCTGAAACCTACCCATTATGTGCAGAAACACACAAAGCACCCAGGTTCTTCCTCAGTAAGACATGGCCTTGGTAACCTTCCTGCACCTGGAACTCTGGAGCCCTGTGCTTTAAGTTGAACTAGAAGGCCCCTCTCATAACACTGCTGGGTATGGAGCTAGCTTCATTTGTCCTGGTTCCCCAAGTCACCTCTTAACTGAAAGTTAGGGTGCTCATTCCCAATGGAAACCCACTCAGCATAGGGATCACAGCATCACCTGGAGGGCAGAGGTAACTGAAACTCGAGGTTCTTGCTCCTTGCCTCCGTACCCTCGAACCAGGCCCCTCCTGCTTGCTGTGGGAACCTTCTTCCCTTAGCTGTGGCAGTTAGGTAGTCTCTCTGACAAGGGCTGCCAGAGAAGCCTAAGCTCTAGCCCTTAGGGACCAGAACAGGAGGTCTTAGCCCAAGGAATTTGTACAGTTGGCAGGGTGAAGAAGGCTGCATCATGGCTTCTGGGTGATTTCTAGAGGTCCTGTGGGTCTCTGGTTCAGACCAGGGTTCATTAGGAGGGGGTTTGCTAAACAGTTATTCATCATCGAAGTTGTAAAGAAGGCAAAAAATGGTGAAGTGTTTGGGTTAAAGTATCTCAGGATGGATTACTCTGTGGAGGACCCTGCAGTTTGGGTGCTCCTCATTTGCAAAAGGCTCTGAAGTAAAGGAAGGAAGGAAGTTGGCAACTGTTTCTTCTTGAGAAGGCTCAAAAAGAATTCTTTGTTCCCGCCCTTAGAGCCTGGGCCTTTGTGTGGCTCCATTCCAAGGGGAGCCATTCATGTACAGCACAGTGTGCTATGCCCCCCCGGATTGTGCGTCATTGCAGTCCTACATAGAGCCTGTTCCCTTTGCACATGAAACTCATGAGGCACAGGATTGGACATCTGGAGTATTGAAGAAGGTGTTTTACCCTTGAGTTGAAGTTTAGACCTAAACCTCAATTGTACCATGCTTCCTCAAGCCCTGAGACAAATGGGCTACCTGTGGAAGTGTGGAAGCTGCTGAGCCTGCGGCCTGTGCTCCCTCTGGTGTCCAAGATTTTGCATAGCAAGTCCAGTGGCCTCTGGTCTGTTTGCATTTATAGGTGAGCAGTGTCCCTTCTTCCTGTTAGTATCAGATCTGTCCCCTACCAGCCAGCTGCCCAGTGCTTCTCCAGGCAGCCTTTGCCTCCCAGAGTGGGTCTGACTGTAGCAGTTCCAGGCCCCACGTTTAAGGGAAGTACCATCCTTCAATGAGGACCAATCTGAATGTGCAGGACCCCTGCAGAAAGGAGCCACGGGACACTGTGCCCCAGCTCTTGGGGAGAGAGCAGGCAGGGGGCAGAGCCATGCCTGGGTGGGCATCCAGGACCTGCTGCTGTCTAGGCCTTGTGAACCACAGCCTAGCCCCCAAAGAGCAGTGATGACGACCATGTAGCACTTTTGCAACATCTGCTTCTGTCCTTGTGTTGTTTGTTGATGTTTTCACTCCCTTTCCTGCTCCTTCAAACTCCTTCCCCTGTGCTTTCCCACAGCTGTTCTGCTGAAGGTGGGGGCGGAGTTTTAACAACACTCTTTGTTGGTCACTGTGATCATGTGTGGACTCACTGCCTGCTCTGTGTCGGTTCTAACCAGCCCTCTCCCTTTGTGTTGTTTTTTCTGTTCTCTAACAATCCAGGTCCAGATAGTCTCCAAAAAAGTGAGCTACAGCCATATTCAGTCCAAGTGTGGTTCCAAGGACAATATTAAGCATGTCCCTGGAGGTGGTAATGTAAGTATGAGCTCTGGATGGCTGGCGCCTTGAGGCGTAGCCCACTGTGGGCACACTGGGGAGAGGGCCACCTGCCCATGCTGACAGGACCGTGGCGCACTGGCCTAGGGCTTTCTTCATAAGCAGGCTAGTGAAGTGAGGGGAAACCTTGATGCTTAAATGTGTTTAGACTGAGTGTTTCTGGCGAGCCCCTAAACAACAGCCCAGGGACACGCACTTGGCATCTTTTCACCCTTGTGGATGAGAGGCCTTAGGTTTTCCTCCAGCTGTGTCAGAGACTTGGTCTGAGGGCAGCGGTCAGTAGCAGGCCTGTCATCTGTCTCGAGTCTGCTCCTGGGGACACACACCTGTGTTTGCACTCCCACTTAGTATGGCGGTGGTCCTGACTCTGAGACAGGTGTCTGGATTTCTCTCAAGCCCATCTTCGAATCCTTGTTACTGTAGAATTAATAAACAGGGAATTAATAAACACTTCCTCCTACCCCTCCTCTGCCTTGCCCTTTGTCTTTATTACTCTGCTATCTTCTTTCCCTCTTCTGTTCTTTCTCTTCTTCTCTCCCTACCTTCTCCCTTTTTCCTTTCTGCTCTCTTTCTTCCACTTTTTCCCTTTTCTAATCCTTTCCTCCTATTCCCTTTTCCTTCCTTTTCTTTTTGTTCCCTTCCCTCTTCCATCCAAACATCTTTTTTATCATGCTATTCTGTGCCGGCCCTAAGATCTGTGTTGGGGACACAAGTGACTCCAGCTCGCAGGGAGGTCCTGGCCTAGGGAGAGACAAGGCAAAGTATCGTTGTCATTTAGCATGTAAAGAACACCCTCTGTATTTTCCACGTGTTCCTGTGACAGTGCTCAGGCAAGCAGGACTCTGCAGTGTGTGCCAGGGGCGTTACAGAGCTGTCCACATGCAGCCTGTGCCCTTCACTGCTTCTCCACCTGCTTCTCTCCCACCCCCAGAGTGAGAGAGCCAGTCCTGTCTTGGTCTCTCTTGGGTTTATTGGGTTCCTTCTCCTTACTATCCTGAACTGGACTAAGTCCTGTTCTACTTACCCTTTTCATTTTTGGGCTCTGTACCCCCTGCCCCGTTGGTCATGCCATCCTGCCCAAGGCCTACAAACACACCCCCCCACCCACCAGCAGTTCCACTGTGAGAAGTACAACCATAGAGCATCCCTTTCTTGCCCCACACAGCTTCCCCTCACTGTACCTCCTTCCCAGTCATCTTCCCACCGGTGGCCCTACCTGGCACGGGCAGAAACTGTATCCTTTGCACTCAGGTGGACTGTGTTTGGCCAGCTTGGTAGTTGGCCAGACATTTGTTAATCTGGTGTGGGATCAGCTGAAGTGGGGAAAGCTTTTAAAGGCAGTATCTGGTTAAGGTGATAAAGATCCAGCCTATGAGGGGCCAAGGTAGGCACTGGCCCTAGCATTTCCTTTCAGGCTTTTTGCCTGGATGAAAACAGAAGGTGAACAGGGATTCTGAGGGAATTGGGTTGCTTGTGTGTGTGTGAGAGAGAGGCAGAAATGCATTTATATATGTTGTGTGGTGTTGGTAAGAGCTCTGAAAATAGTTGTCAATTATCTGTCACCTACTGTGGTCTTCCTACACTGCCTACACATGACTTCAAACAAGATTTTTTTGTGGGGGAGTGTACTTTTTTAAAACATTTTAATTTTTGGAGGCTTCCTTAAACAGCAGAGCATTAGGAAACCACCCATGAGCAGTGTTTCCAGATGGGAAGATGAGGGTAAACAGCCTGGACTGAGGCACTATAGTTCCTTCCATCAGTCCCGCCATAAAGCCACTGCAAATAAACAAGCAGTTTAGAAAGAGTGGGCCCGCTGTACAGATAGAGCAGCATTACATGTCTAAACCCCCGTCTCCTACCCCCCCACACCCCCCCAATATAGACATTATGGAGTTACTGCTGGGATGAGAGGCTTGGAGCAGGATCTCAGTTAGTGCTCAAAAAACACCCCCATGTACACATAGACATCCCCCTTGTGGAGAGCCAGGAAGACTTCAGGGAAGGGAGCATAGCAGGTGCTTCCTTGGCTGGTCCCAATTTAACATTTTGTGGCAGTTTTAATTCCATTTCACCCTCTCAGGGGATATGTATGTGTGATGGTTCTGAGACCTATTGGCAGTGTCATTTCAATAGCATATATTGATATCTGCAGTAGGCCTTCGAGTCGTCACAGACCAGTGGGGCAGATTACATAAACACAACTAGAGCGAGGTACAGTGGATGCCAGGGTCGATTGTGTTCCAAGAGGCCCACAGAGAGGGGTGTGGCTTCTGCTGGCTGTCAGGCTTCACTGAGGAGGGGACATTTGGGCTAGTCCTCGAAGCATGAGAAACACACGCCATAGGCTGGAGAAGCAGCACATAGCTCCTCAAAGACAGAGCATTGCTTGAAGGCAAGTGGTCAGGGGAGGAAAGAAGAGGGGGATCGTTTGGAAGCAGATTGTGGATCCTCTACATATCAGCCTAAGGAGGCAGAGCTGTGTCTCAGAGGTATTGGGCCTTGTTAAGTGAGTGGGACACAATTAAGCTTTTAAAATATTTAATTTTAGAAATTTTCAAACATATAAAACAGTAGAAAAAATAGTAAAATGAACTAGATGTAACCTTTACCCAGCTTCATTTACCTTTATAACCAATCTTATCTATATAGGCCCACCCTAATTATTTTGAAGCCAGTCCTAGATATGTCATTCATGTGCAAATATCCCAGTATATAACTTTGAAAGATAAGAACTCTTTAATATACGTGTGTATGTATATAAAGAATCCTGCAAATATGTTAAAACAGGTTTACTTATTTGAATCAGGATACAAGTAAGGTCCATAAATTGTGATTGGTTGATGTGTCTCTTGTCTCTTAAAATCTTAGCTTCTTTTACTGTACAAGTTCCGTGTCCAACTGTTTTTTGATAGTAATGTTTTTCATGAGTAAACCAAGTGGTTTGTCCTAGAATCTGGATTCTGCTGATTACATCTGCATGGTTTTATTTAACATAGTCCTTTGTCTCTCCGTTTTATTTAAATTGATTCAGGTTTGATTTTTTCCCCCACATTTTTGCAAGACTTTCAGGTAGTGGTGGTGTTTCTGTCAGGAGACACATCGTGTCTCACTCCTCTGGCCTTCTCTCTCCTTGTGATGCTGGCAGCTGTTGATGCCGCCGTATACCTAGACCCGTGAGTTCAGTAGGGGTGCACTGTGGTGAGACTCAAATTCTACCATTCCTTCTTCATTTACTGGCTGGAATGCATCTGTAAAGCAAAACCTCATAAACTATTCTTTAGTTGAGGACTAGGCAAGAGGTAAAGAAGTAGAGGCTTCAGGTGCAAAACACTGTCAAGAAATGTGTGGGCTCCACACCTTGGTGGGAGGCCTGGCCTTGGCGAGTGACCTCTGTTAACTCCTCACAGGTGGTCTCAGGGATGGCACAAGATGGGCTTGCCACCATTGCTGCAGAACACATGGTGGCTTGGTTTAAGCAGCTGCCAAATCTTTGGCTGGGAAAAGTACACTTTCCTATATTCCTGTTTAGGATTGCAGCATTGTTGGGAAGATGAGATGAAGTGGAGGCTGTTGTTTTGATGGTGATAGGTACTCTGTAAATGATTACTGAACACGTGAAACGATTAGTGTCCAGCTGATACTGTGTTCCTTCAAGAGATGATGTGAAGAAGAGATGGAGTGAAGCTGGAGCCAAGGAAGGCTTTGGAGAATGCAGCATTCGAGCTAGGCTTTTGAAGGATAGGGAGAAGACTGCAGTGAGCTTGCTAGACTAGGGAACAGCATGAGCAGAGTTCTAGAAGCAAGAATGAGGATGGCTCAGGGAAGCTGACGATTATGGAATGTGGTGGAGACCATATTTCCTGACCCTGAAGAAAGGAAGACAGGGTCTTAAGAAGGTAGCCATTTAATGGCGTTGTGATGAAACCCCACCAGAAGAGTGTGACACCTGCATGGAGGGGTTGATTGTGGTGGAAAGCCAGGCTCTTCCACAGTATCAGGGAACAGCTAGACCGCTCGCAGGAACCCTGGAATCCCCATCCAAGAACCCAGCAGGATCTCCTGTCTGTAGGTGTCCTTTCCTAATTTAAAGACATGCCATCAGTCCCTCATACCAAGATGTTTTGCCAGGGCTCCTGCAGGACAGACATTGATGAAAGTCTATTGGCCATATTAAAAGCAGGACCAAGTATAGAGGACACCCAAACCAGTCCCCAACCACAAGGCATATCTGTACCGTGATTCATTTTGGATAAATAATCTTGCAAGGCCGTTCGTCCTTTTGATTACTCACCAAACACAGACAGAATGTCAACTTAGTGAAAGGTCCTGTGGAGCCTGTAGGGAGCAAAGCAAAAACGCAGATCGTGCTCAGTCCCTGCAGATGTAGAGCTTCAGGCTGCTGGAGTGAGGCCTGTGAACACATACAGCTGTGCCAGGCAGGCAGTGCTCCATTGGCTGGTGGAAAGGGGAGAGTGCTACATGGGAGAGTGAGGTGGCACATCATACAAAGGGTTAGTGACCTTAATAATACAGAAAGCAACCGAAGGGAAGCATTTTTCACCCATAAATTAGCAAAGTTTTTTTGTTTGTTTTTAATGAGAATACCTAATGCTGGGAGGATATGGCTAGACAGAAACACATAAACTCTGTGGTGGAGGTGTCGATTGTTGTTGCATTTCTGGAAAGCAGTTAGGCGTCATGCTTCAAGAACCTTAAAACAATCTGAACCTTTGACAGAGTAAGTTCTGGGCGTCTTGCTTGAGGCGTCATCAGAGTTGCCAACACTTCTATCCATAAAGATATTCGTTGCTGCCATGGTGATATTAGTGAAAAATCTGAAAAAACCCTAAATGTTCAATATCAGAAATATAGTTAAGTTTATATTGCATTTTATAGGATACATTTTATAGGATACTTTCTTTGCATTTCCCAACTTTTATGGGAAAATGCTTGTAGCATGAATTAGGCAGAAATAGAGTCATATATAAAAATAGATAGGTGTAGATCTAGATATATGTATGTCTGTGCTGTCAGCCATGAGAGAAAAATGCATTGAAAAGAACTGGAAGGAAATAAGCCAAAATGTTGTTCCAGATTATCTCTGTGCTAGGAGTTGATGGGTAAGATTTGAGGTGGAACAAAAGGGACATTTCAAGACATTTGGTTCCAGAAAGAAGAAAGAAGAGCTGTCTGGTAGAAGCACGGATAGGGTCAGGATGGAAAGACCTGGACATGTGTGGAAACATTGGTTTGGTCTAGCTGGAAGTGGGGTCGGAAGCTACAAGCAGGGCCAGGATGGGTCAAGGGCCCTTGTAAGCACTTTGGGAGGCGACCCTCACCTTGAGTAGACTGAGACAGGGACTTACAGAGGGAGAGAAAAAACATGGAGAAGAGGATCATAAAGGGAACATAGGTTTGGCCCTGACAATACCCCCTCTCTCTGAGGCAGTAATTTTTTGCGTGTTTTTCTCCTCAGGTTCAGATTCAGAATAAGAAGGTGGACATCTCTAGGGTCTCCTCCAAGTGTGGGTCCAAGGCTAACATCAAGCACAAGCCTGGTGAGTGGTGCCTCCCTTGTCCTGGGGCACCTGGGGCGGGGGGTCCTGCCATGGGCTGGCTGGGTTTCATCCCTTATGCCTTTGTCATTCCATAAAGATTCATGGAGCCACCCCCACCCAGGACACAGCGGTGGAAACAATGCAGTCCTCAGTCCCTGTCAGGGAGGGGGCATTGGGGAGCTAATCGCTTAGTTGGAGGAGGAAGAGTTTGTAAAGACTGCCATGTGCACCAACATCATCTTGAGGACCTGTTGGCCTGGGCCTAGAGGGTGGTGTGCTGCGGGCTGAGAACCTGGCGGGGCCTCCCAGTGAGCATTCCTGGGGCTAATGCTGAAGGAGCTCTAGAGAACAGTGGCCGGGACTCACCTGTCAGATTCAAGGACAAAGGATATTTCCGAGCAGTGAAGCATCAACCACAAGCTCTGGCAGGAGACAGTGAGTCCTTCAGTAATGTCACCTCAGCCCGCAGACATGGGTCTTGCAGCTGCAGCGATGCAGGGTTGACTTCCACAGCGCAGTTGGCCTGGTGCCCCCGCAGAGGCCTCTGGGCAGAGCCTGCACTCTTGCCTCAGCATTCACCCTAACAGCCTCATGTGTCCCGGTTCCCTGGTCTGGAGCAGATTTGGGAGTAGGGAAGTATCGCTGCAACAGCAGGCCGACTGGTGTCGCAGTCACGAGGGGCCAGTTAAGGTGAAGGCAAAGAAGACTCCCTTGTCTCTCAGCAAAAAGTGTCATCCGTTTCAGAATGTGTTCTATTTAAAAGGATCAAAACAGTTTAGCCCTTAACTAACCTTCATTTTTCTCCTTTTATCTGGAAAATCCACTCTTGTGAGATGCCTGCCTCCCTAGTGAGACCCAGTGACTTGAGGTCCAGTTTCTGCCAGGGGGCTAGAACTCCAGTTTGTAGGACATCTGGAGAATTTGGCAGGAAGCTGGGTGTTGAGGTTTGTATTGTAAGCTGAGAGGAGATGAAAGAGTGAGAGAAGGGCTCACAGGGAAGCCAAGCGCCTCGTGAGGGGCTGGTGGCCGGGGAAAGCCATGGGGCCCTTGATCCCAGGGCCACACTCTTGCCTGCGAGCTCTGAACCTCGCCCTGTGTACAAGCTGCCTTCCCTCCGCACCCCTGCCCGAGGGTGTGATTGCGTGGCTGGCCCGGTCCAAGTCTGCCCTTTCTCAGCTCACAGTGCAGGGCCGCTTCCACCTCCTGCCTTCCTTCTTTTCACTACAGGGTGATTCGGGTAAATGTCTCAGATCACATTTCCATCTTGTCTCGGTTGATTGCTAGCTTGGTGGTGACTTCGGGCAAGTCACTTCTCTTGCAGCGTCAGTTCTAGCAGCTGTAAAACAAGGATCCTGACCCTGATGGACAGGGTGTTCATGAGACTGAAGGGAGGCTGGGGCACATGGCACCTCCAGGCAGTTAGTGGGAGTTGTCACACTGCCAAGAGAACTTCAGGCAGACGTGCATCTTGGCACCTTTAGAGGCTCTCCCTCGAGGCTCGCCCAGGCCTGCCCAAGTCCAATCAGCAGTTGCATGGGCTGTGAGCTGGGAGGGTGGTAAGGGTGATTTTTCTCTATGGTATTCCCACCTTCTGGCTGGAGAGATTATCAGCCTGACTTTGAGAAGAGTAGCCCTTTTTTGACAAGCATGTTCACTATTCTTCTTTGTCCTCAGAGCCACCAGGAGCAGGTCTTATTTTCCCCATTTCTGTATTGGGCACATAGCCAGTCCTTGGCCAAGCTAGAACTCCTGTTCCAGCCTCCTGGCTTTGCCTGCAGGGGTGTTTCTCTGCCACCCTTAGTGACCGGTTCTTTTTTGGTTTTAGGTGGAGGAGATGTCAAGATTGAAAGTCAGAAATTGAACTTCAAGGAGAAGGCCCAGGCGAAGGTGGGATCCCTTGATAACATGGGCCACCTGCCTGCGGGAGGTGCCGTGAAGGTAGTGAGTGGGTCACCGGGGGACACAGCTGGGGACAGGTGGGGTTATGTGGCTGGAGTCTGGGTCCCAGTAGGTGGGTGCCTGTTACCGCCGCTCAGTCTTTCCAGACGTCATGTTTCACCCACACCATTGCTGTTTTCCCATTGTCTATCATCAGTCCTGAGCAGGCAGGTAAATTGAAGAGGCCCCCACCCAGCCACCTCTTGCCTGTCCACCTGGAGACAGAACCTTCTCTGGAGATCCATGACCTTCCTTACTTTCTGAGCCCATCTCCGCCATTTTCAGAGGGACTGTGGGCTGAGGCACAGTTTACCACAGGGGGTGGCCTGCACAGTACAGTTCCCCCCAGCTACCTCAAGAAAGAGGGGAGGGCCGGCCCTGTGGCTTGGTGGTTAAGTGGCGCGCTGCAATGCTGGTGGCCCGGGTTCGGATCCCGGGTGCGCATCGAGGGACCACTTCTCCGTCCATCCTGAGGCCGAGTCCCACATACAGCAACTAGAAGGATGTACAGCTATGACATACAACTATCTCCTGGGGGTTTGGGGGGAAAAAATAAAATAAATAAAATCTTAAAAAAAAAAAAAAAAAAAAAAGAAAGAGGGGAGTGTGGGTACACGCTCCATGTCAGGCTCCATTCCAGGCCTGGGAGCAGGATAGCACATTTTCAACTGCCAGTGACAGCAGGCTTGGCGTCCACTTGCCTCTGGAGGGACTGCCCGGGGCTACCCCAGCCCGGGGCTCTGAGAGAGCACTTGAGTGGCAAGGCTTCCCATCCTCAGGTCTGGCTGGGCCTCTCCCTTCCCTCCCTCTCTTCTTCCCTCCTCCGTCCTTCCACAGTACTGTGAGACCCTTTGTGTGCCAAGATGCTGTCTGTTCTTTGTTCCATCTTGTTGGCGGGTAGGGGGACTTATGGGGGAAGCATCTTCTGAGCATGAGGATAGCTGCAGCTGCTCAGGGAAAGGTGAGCGAGGGAGAGGGGCAGGAACCGCTGCTGTGGCCCTTCCCTCCGACATCTGATTGCCCAGCACTGGGCCGTCCTGGCCCATCCTTTGTCCTGTCCTCCCTCAGTGCTCTGACTGATCCAAACTCTGACTGGCTTCTGTGAACATTTTGGCATCCTGGCTGTATCACAGACTCTCAGTTTGTGCCCCCACATCTTGTGAGGAACACTCTTGAATCTGTCTCCTGGGGCGCTAACTCTGGTGTAGTTCCTTGTCCAAAGGCCATGTGGCAAGTGTGTGTAGACTAGGGCTCAGCTGGGCCTTTCTGACCCCAAGTCTTGTGTTCTTTTCTTTATTTACATTATCTCCCTTTCTTTATTATTTCTGGAATTATTTTTCTAATACAGAGGCCTGTTTCTTTCACTTTTATGACTGAAAACCGTGTGGAATCTTCCCATTCCACCTTTCGGGCACTCCAGGGCACAGGCATTCCAGCTCACCCGTGGCCTCCCACTGGCCTTCCCTCTCTTTTGCTTTCCAGGATGTTCACTGTCCCCCACAGGTCCTTCTCCTCTCGTGAAGCCCTCCAGACCCCCGAAGTCTCCCTGGGTCACACCTCCTTGGACACCTTCTTCCTCCCTCCTTTGTGCCCCCAGGCCCTGGAAGGGTGCTCAGCACAGAAGAGGCCTTAGTGTCTGGGGTGCATGAACAGATAGATGAACAGGCAGGGCTGCCTTGGGAGTTACTGACAAACCTCTCTGAGCACACTCTGTCTGTGAGGTGCTCTGGGATTCACTGGGTCAGAGGTGACAGGCTGTACCCCTCAGGAAGTGACTTCAAGCTTCGGAGCTCCCTAACTGGTCTGTGGCACCCCTCCTTCCCAACCAAATCCAGACCCACCGTCTTGAGATTGTTCCTCAGGCTTGTTGCTAATGATCTGCTATCATAGCTATTTTTATTTGGTTTCAGTCTTGTTGAGAAGCCTGGCACCTCTCACCTCAGAGAGGCTTCAGGAAGCCTTGCGTTTCACAGAAGAGTCCTCCAGAGTGTGTCACTAGTCAGGCTGCCCTGCTGGGCCTGGGGCTGTATCCTCCTGCTTCAGAGCCTGTGTTCTTGCTTTGCACCAGGCCGTCCAAGCCAGGAGTCAGTCTCACGAGTGGGGGTAGGGATGGGGAGTGCCTGGTCTGGATTCCAGACAACTGCACCTTAATCCAATGGGGACAGGGTGGTGGGAGTGGGGGCTGAGTGTAAAACCCGCCACCATCACCCCATCCCATTCCCTCCCCGACTGACCCTTGCACTGTCTCCCTCACTGTTTCATTGTAGACTGAGGGCGGTGGCAGCGAGGCCCCTCCGTGTCCGGACCCCCCTGCTGGGGAGGAGCCGGCCATCCCTGAGGCAGCGCCCGAAGCAGGCGCCCCCACTTCAGCCAGTGGCCTCAGTGGCCACACCACCCTGTCAGGGGGTGGTGACCAAAGGGAGGCCCAGACCTTGGACAGCCAGATCCAGGAGACAAGTAAGTGGCTGGGCTTGGCCTAAGGGCCAGCCAGGGTCCCTGCCACTGGCTGCAAATTGAAACTCCTTTGTTTTTTTACTAGAGCATGGCCTAAATTTTAACGAAGCAATCTTTTATTTTCCAGGCATCTAATGATGACATTCTGGTCTCGTCTTCCATCCCCTTTGTTCCCCTTTTTGTCTCCCTCGTTACCCTCTCCCTTCCCTCCTCCCGTGTCACTGCAGATTGAGACCTACAGGCTGACGTTCCGGGCAAACGCCAGGGCCCGCACTGACCACGGGGCCGACATTGTCTCCCGCCCCCCCCACTTCCCTGGTGGCCCTGGTTCAGGCACCCGGGCCCTTGGCTCCCTCTCCCAGGCTGCCCTCTAGACCCATGACCGCCTCGATGCTGGGTAGCCTTCTAGGCCCCTTTACCCCCTCCTGCTCCACTTCCCCAGGGCAGCAGCAGTCCCGCCCCCCCCC